GTTCCAGGAAAAGCTCGCACCCAAATGTTCATAGCAGCGGTATTCACAGAATGCAAAGGTGGAAACAACCCAAATGCCCATGAACGAAAGGATGGATAAAACAGGCACGGCACACTCCTGCAACGGAGTGTCATTTAGGCATAAATACGAATGGCGCTCAGGTCAGGCTGCAACACGGACGCGCCTTGACAACATTCCGCCGAGCGGAAGAAGCCAGTCGCAGGAGACCACGTATTACCTGATTCCGTTCATCTAAAATAACCAGGACAGGCAACTCCATAGAAACAAAGTAAATTGTGGTTGCTCAGGACTGAGCTGGGTGGTGGGGAGGGAGTGACAGGGCTGATAGCTAAAGAAGGTGATGACGATGTTCTAACATTGATTGGTAATGTTTGCACAACTCTGAACATACTAACATCCGTTGGGTTGTACACCTTAAGCGGGAGGATTCTATTGGTATGTGAATTACATCTTTAAAAAGTTATTTAAAAATAAAAAAAGTTGGGGCGCCCAGGTGGCTCAGTAGGTTAAACGTCCAACTCTAGATTTCGGCTCAAGTCATGATCTCACGGGTCGGGAGTTCGAGCCCTGCATCAGGCTCTGTGCCGACCGTGCGGATTCTTTCTCTCCCTCTCTGCCTCTCCCCTGCTTAGGCTCTCTTCCTTTCTCTCTCTCAAATAAGCTTACACAAAATAAAATTAAAAAACTAAAAATTAAAAAGTTGGTGCCACACTAGTGGAAGATTCACAATCCACCAGGCGCCATGACTCACCCACCAAAAACTACAGCCAGAGACGTGCTTGGGCAGAGGGGGAATATGGACTATGGGGCCGGACTGGGTGGGCTTGGAGTAGAAGCCCCCTTAAAGTAACCCCATCAACACAACAAACCCAACCTGAGAAAAGAACACCAGCCTGCTTGCGACGCCCAAGTCAGAAAGGAACCGAGGACCATTCGCAACTATGTGGGTGGAACTGGAGGGTATTATGCTAAGTGAAATTAGTCAGAGAAAGACACATATCACATGACTTCACTCATACAAGGACTTAAGACACAGAACAGATGAACACAAGGCAAGGGCAACAAAAATAATATCAAAACAGGGAGGGGGACAAAACAGAAGAGACTCCTAAATATGGAGAACAAACTGAGGGTTACTGGAGGGGGTGTGGGAGGGGGGATGGGCTCAATGGGTAAGGGGCACTAAGGAATCTACTCCTGAAATCATTGTTGCACTATATGCTAACTAATTTGGGTGTAAATTAAAAAAAATAATAACGTTAAAACAAAAAAGAAAGGAACCGAGGAACAAAGAAGTCATCAACTTCCCTTCCTGCCGGGGACAATCCCCTGAGCCTTCCATCAATACTACAGTGGCTGTGCTCCCTGAGAACAAGTTTATTTCATAAACTCAAGCCAGCACCCAAGACAAAGCGTGCACATTAGAATTAAGGCCCTTTTAATACTAGAGATTAAGGGGATCAACCAAAGGAAAAGGAGGAGGGACCTGAGCGCTCCGTCTTCTCGCCTTGCAGAGTGGCTTGAAACCTGGGCATCAGAGCAGCCGTGGGGGCCGTCTCAGCAGGGACCGGCGATGGGAGGGGCACAAGAGTTGGCATCTTCCTGGTTTGTTTCCAAGCACTGACGCTTTCTGAGGGCCCAGAATGCATGTGAAATGGACTGACAAGGGCAGGGACACGAGCTCTCCTTGGGCTCTATCTGCAACGGGCTTCCTTGAACACTGGGCCTTCTTGGAAGGCAAAGGAAGCCCAGGGCCTTGATGACACATGGCGACATGACTGTGGTTCCCAAGCTGCTGGTGGCAGCTGCCTCTCTCTCCCAGCACGGGCTTCCTCTTGAGCCTCCTCCTGGCGAAGCCTCTCCTTCTCCCCACCTTGGGCTAGATCTGGTGCTTCCAGATCCTTCTTTGTCGTGGCCTCCTTCCAACTCAGCATCGTCATTTTTCATCAGCAGGACAGGCATGATACTGACCCCAGATGGCGTCTTCACGGCTGCTTAATGAGCAGATTCCCATCAAGCACATTTTTGCTTCCCCTCATACTGGACGGGAGCATGTGCAGTGGGGGACACGGTCCCCGGTGTGTAGATCCCCACAAGCCCAGGCTTTCTAGCTGAGCCAGCAAGATAAAGTCCCAGAGCTGGTAAGATAAAACTAACAAACATTTGTTTGTGTTACACACACACACACACACACACACACACACACACACACACACGACATCCTTTGTGGGAATACCCAAGCAAAACCATAGACAACTTTAAAATGAACTGTGGCTTCTCCCCAGCCACACTCTGGGAGAGCCGAGTCTCCTGGGAGGGGGTGGGGTTGGTTACACAGCAGCCCCCAGGCCCAACGTCAGTTCATTCTCTGCAAGCCTGCCTTAGCCGGCCACACAGGCCCCACCTGCCTCACCCCAAGATGCCGCAGACCCTCAAGCGCAGCTTGCAGAGGAGCTCCCGGTGCAGCCGGGGCCTCCGCACGCCCCTCTGCCTCCACGTGCGCGCCTCGCTGTCCGGCCACCATCAAGGTGATCGCCAAGTACTAAAGCCGTGCGCTTCCCTTCCCACAAAAATAATCACCGGGAGCCCCTTTGATTTGCAGGGAAATCGGGATTTCTTGCTGCACTTCCTGTCAGGCCGGCCCTTTGAACAGGCTCCCTCCATAATTTAGAGTTGGAATCTCGTTTTAAATGGCAGTTAAAAATTGTATGTGGCAGTTCACAATGAAATTTAGCTTGACAGCTTGGACATAAAACTAAAAATAAATGACTCCACATCCAAATAATAAGTAATAACAATGTTAGCCTGCATAAGAATAGCAGGGCTGGATTCAAATACAATATTAATTTTAGGAATATGAGTGACTGGGGAGAGACAGAGGCAAAGAAACAAATCCTTCATATAGCAACGGTCTCCTCTTATCCCCCAGGCAACTGGCTTCCCTCGCACCTCTGCGGCACAGCAATTATGTGGTGTAATGGAGCCAGCGCAAATAAGCAGAAAGATTTTATTAAACCAAATGAGCAAATCATCTGCGTATTATTGCGATTTGATTGACACTGACAAGTGTCGAGCAGACGCGGATGCGAATATGATAAAGAAGCTTGCAGAAAAGCTGTTGATAATGTTACTCTTGATAAAGTTCCCCGGCCACCCTCTCTAGGTAAATAGAAGGGCGAGGGAGAGGACGCATATTAATTCACCTAGTTGGCAGCCCACTGGAGGGGTGGGAAGGCGGGGTGGGGGGGGGGGAGTTGCCAAGGGTTCAGCGTATGGCATTTTATATGAATACCAAAATTGCATTCATGATTCGCGCAGACTTTACGATAATATATTAATATTAAAACTAAAGGTCATTCCACATAACGCTTAAGCTGCCTGAGCTTCAACCTTTATGCCAATAACAGACTCTGGAAAGTAAGTGAGAAATATTTGAATACTCAAAAAAAAAAAAATTTTTTTTTTTTTTCCTTTGGGAGGCTTGCTGTCTAACGCCAGCTCAGGTGGCCCCTCACCCACCTGCCTTCTCTGGGGACAATTACAGGGCTACCTGGAGGATGAGACAGCTGGTGCTGCCAGGGCGGAGAGAGGACTAATTACCACAAGCCTCGGGCCCTCCACACTGCTGCGTTGCACTAATGATTCCCTTATGAACTGGAGCGTGCTGCCACCGACGCTGCTCCACGGAGTCAGCACAAAACTTCACGCTGCTGCTCGGGGCGCTCGGAGCAAACGGGCCAGCACGAGGCGGGCTCTGTCGAGGACGATTTAAGGGGAGACCCGCCTGGAGGCAGGGGGCCAGCCGTGATGACCTCTGGAGCTCCCTCCAGGGGGCGCTTTGCTCTGGTTCTGTCGGTAGGGCTGGCTGGCGCAAGAGAGTGTCGTGGCCGGCCCCGGCCGGCTTGGCGGGTGGGTGGGCTCTGAAGTTTTGCTAGAAGAGAAGCTGAGAGGAGAAAACCAGGGATTGGGAGACCTGCTGAACTGAGGGGACGTCCAAGTTGAACGGGCGTCCAGAGAAGGGGATTCCCAGGGCTGGAAGGCTGATCTGGCCCTGGGTCTCCGTCTGGTGGGCAGACTGACAGGGGTGGTCTCCTAACTCAAGATGGACAGAGGGCCTGACGTGCTGGAGGCAGCCGGGTCAGGCTGGTCGGCTTCCTAACTCCGCCTGTGGCCTCCCTGGCTGCTTGAAATTGACCGCCGCCCCAGGAAGATTTCCCCCACGGAAATTGGCAAATGCTTTAGATCAGGGGTCCCCTTCCACCAGCCAGTTTTAAAACACTTCACTGACTGGCGCAGGGCAACATATGGGAGAGATTCCACTCCCCACGAGCCCCTGGGCTGCGATCACTGCTTATCCAGCAAATATCTGGTCTTCACGGATCCCCATTTGGTGCAAAGCAAGAGGAAGAAAAAAAAAAAGGCTAAATTAAATCCAACCTAATACGATAATTCCGGCAACTTCTCTAGATACTTTTCTTGAAGGGTCTGCCTCTCCCGGAAGGTGTCCCTCGACCACTGGCTACGCTCACCTTGCTGACATTTTGGTGTTGGAATTAGCGATCTGGGCCCCCTGGGCCTGGCCAGCCTCATCTTTGGCAGGTAGATGCCCCTCCCACCCACAACATCCTGGCCTAGGCAGGCCAGTCGTCTTCTGCCGTGGAGCATCCTTGCCCTCCTAGACAGGGGAAGCTCCTGACTGAGTCTACTCCATGACAGAATGGAATGGAAGGCTGCTGTGGAAAGCGGTGTTCCTCTGCCTGATCACATACCCCCCACTTCACTTCGCTGTGGCCTCATGCAGGTCCCTCCAGGGGCAGGCAGGTGGGTCTTCTGGGGAACTGGGGCAGAAATCGCTCTTCCTTTGGCCTCCCCCTCATCCTTTTTGCCACGTTCTTTCCCTCTCAAGGCTAAAGTCTGGAGCAGGAAAATAGAGACGCATAGACTGCCTCCTTTTTTCTCTCCCTCCTCGCACTTCCAAAACCTGCCAAGGCCAATTCCTCTGCCTTAGTGTTTTTCAAAAATTTTTTTTTCAACGTTTTTTATTTATTTTTGGGACAGAGAGAGACAGAGCATGAATGGGGCGGGGGGGGGGTTGCAGAGAGAGAGGAAGACACAGAATCGGAAACAGGCTCCAGGCTCCGAGCCATCAGCCCAGAGCCCGACACGGGGCTTGAACTCATGGACCGCGAGATCGTGACCTGGCTGAAGTCGGACGCCTAACCGACTGCGCCACCCAGGCGCCCCATGCCTTAGTGTTTTTCAAATGGGGAGTCATAACCCATTGGCGGGGGATGACATAAAGTCAGTGGGTCATGACCAGCATTAATTAAAAAAAAAAAAAAAAAGACAATTTTAAATTAAAAAGATGTTTTGATGTTTATTTTTGAGTGAGAACACAAGCGGAGGAGGGGTAGAGAGAGACAGAGACAGGATCTGAAGCAGGCTCCAGGCTCCAAGCTGTCAGCACAGAGCCCGACGCAGGGCTCCAACTCAAGAACCTGAGCCGAAGTCAGACGCTTAACCAACTGAGTCACCCAGGCACCCCAGGAAAAGACAGTTTTAAAAGTGAGAAAATACCACATATAATAAGGCTAAGAATTGTTCTGTGAAATGTATTTTGCTTATATGTGTGTGTGTGTGTGTGTGTGTGTGTGTGTGTGTGTGTGTGTTTTCTGGTTAAAAATGTAAAATGAGGGGGCACCTGGGTGGCTCAGCTGCTTAAGCGTCCGACTTCGGCCCAGGTCATGATCTCATATTCATGGGTTTGAGCTCCGTGTCAGGCTCTGTGCTGACAGCTCAGAGCCTGGAGCCTGCTTTGGACTCTGTCTCCCTCTCTCTCTCCCCCCCCCCCAACTTGTGCGCGCACGCTCTCTCTCTCTCTCAAATAAATAAACATTAAAAAAGTTGATATTTTAACTGTTCGGTAATGTTAAATACCATTCTAATCTTAAAAACAGGCGAGGGACCAGATTTGGCCCAAGGTTTGCAGACCATGCTATATACAAATTTTAACTTGAAATAATAAAAACATCATTTAAAATAGTCACAACAGGGGCACCTGGGTGACTCAGTCTGTTAAGCATCTGACTTTGGCTCAGGTCATGATCTCAGGGGTTCGTGAGTTCAAGCCCCATGTCAGGCTCTGTGCTCACAGCTCAGAGCCTGGAGCCTGCTTCGGATTCTGTGTCTCCCTCTCTCTCCCTGCCCCTCCTCAGCTCGTGCTCTGTTCTCGCTCAGTCGCTCAAAAAATAAAATAAAATGTTAAAAAAAAATAAAATCTTTTAAAAAAAGTAAAATGAATTTCTTCCTGGCATCACAGAAACCATGTTTGAAAGTTGCAATTCTGCCTCATCTCTCATCCCAGAGCAACAGGCTGAGGGCCACAGGGATATCACCCCCACACTGGAGGCCCCTGACGCTGCTGGTTCCAGGCCTCGCTCTTGCTATGCTCACCAAGGAGGCAAAATAACCCAGAAAATCTCTCCAAGACAAGCCTGGCTTGCCACACAAAACCAACTGTGAATATCGAACATTGGGCACGACTCCGGTTTCTTGCATCTTTTCTGTAAACAATTGGGACCTCTCCTTACGTCCTGAGTAGGACTGATGCCTCCCTCCAACTCCTTCTCGAGAGCATCCCACTCACAAAGGCTGAAGAAAAAAGGTGATTCGTATTTTTAAAGATACTTCTTCTGTTACACATTAATTGTCTAAGAGACTGTTTTGCCCACCCTGCTTCGGGGCCCTCCACTCAGCCAGCTGCCCGTGGACAGCGGTAGGCCCTGAACCTCACACTCCCTCGAGAGTTACTCTGAACTAGGGGCATCTGGGTGCCTCAGTTGGTTAAGCATCTGACTCTTGGCTGCAGCTCAGGTCATGACCTCACGGTTTGTGAGATCGAGCCCCTCATCAGCCCCTCTCTCTCTGCTCACACTGTCTCAGAATGAATACATACATACATACATACATACATAGACAGATAAATAAATAGACTTTAAATAATAATAATAATAAGATCCACCAGGACCAGGTTGGCACGGTCTGTACTTTAGACTGCAAACTTTAGGAGGGCAGAGAACACATCTGTTTTATGCACAGCGTGTCCTCAATCCTAGCAGAGTATCCGGGGCATGGGGTGGGTAGGCCCTTGTTAAAATTGTGTAAAGTATGGACTTATGTGGGAGAAAGGCCAGACTTGCCATGTTTCTTTGAAATAGCTTCGTAACGGAGCGCCTGGGTGGCTCAGTTGGTTGAGCATCCAACTTCGGCTCAGGTCATGATCTCACGGTTTGGGAGGCTGAGCCCCACGTGGGGCGTGGCGCTGAGAGCTTCGAGTTTGCTTTGGATTCTCTGTCTCCTCTCTCTACCGCTCTCCCACTCATGTGTGCTCTTTCTCTCTCAAAAATAAATAAGCATTAAAAAAAAATCTTTGTAATGGGTTACAGGGAATACCGTTAAATGGGATACTCCAAACAGGTCACATCACTGTATTAAAATAAAAAAGTAAGTAAAAAAACACCTTCTCTGTATTCTTTTTGCAGATTTGCTAACAGGCAGAAATCTAAGATGAATTAAGTGATTTCTGCTTTGTCCATTAATCATTGAACAAAGCATTTTTGATTGCTATTGTTCTCGAAGAGTCTATATTAAGAGCCCATCATTTAAAATAAATTCATGGTTTACGGGGGGATACGCCAGAGTGTTGCATGCTGTTTGTGTCTTTACACATACACCCTTACTGCTAATAAAAGTGAGATACACACCCATCAGTGTATTTTATGCCCTTCTGTTCCAGAATACACTCAACGATAATATCATTCCCTATTTAATTTTGAATACTGGTCAGAGGGAAAAATAAACAAGGCTATATATTTTTTGGAATAATAGGTCTTTAAATTCTCAGAAATTTCGAGGGATAAAATCAGTCAGATATATCTTAAATGTTAACATAAGAACACAGGGAAATGGCAGTTAACGGAATTGGAAACCACATTGTAGGCTATTCAATGTCTATAAGATATATGTATACTAATCCTTGCTTTCTTTATAGCCCTCTGTAACCAAAACTATTTTGAATGAAGCAAGTTTTCTCAAGATACCATTTTCAACCCCATTTTTCCATTGCCTGTGCTCAGAGCAAACTTTGTAATCGGGCGCTCAAGACCTCTAGAAGGTAAGCCTACACTACTTTTCCGGTTTCATTTATTCATTCATCCAGTCATTCCATCAGTAAATATCTATTGGATACCAGAATATGTGCTAAGACCTTGGAAAGGCATACAGGGCCTCTCCCCTCCTAGAATTTATATTCCAGAAGAGGAGAGCAAGAAGTAAACCGGCAAATGATTACAGATGGTGATAATGGGCTGTGAAGGAAGCACAGTTGAGGTGATGAAAAGCACCTCTGCTGGGGAGGGTGACTTTGGGTCCAGGTGTCAGGGAAGGGCCCTGAGGAGGCATGGAGAGCCAGTCACGGGAAGTGCCAGGTCAAAGGGAAACACCCGGGCCAGTGGCAGAGTAGGGGAGGGTTGAGGGGAGCCCTAATGGAAGTCCGGGTGCCCAACGTCAGGGGTCAGCCCACATAAGGCCTTGAGGATCACGGGGAGAAACCTGTTTCACGCTAAGAGCAATCTGAGTGCAAAGATCCTCTACCACATGATGGCTTCATTCATAAGTACCAAAAAAATCAGGAAAAACTCAAATGTTCCTCAACTGCTAATGGATAAAGAAATGGTGGCACATCCATCTAGGGCTCCACTACTCAGCAACAAAAAGGAACAAGCAGCTAGTACCAGATGCATGCACTGCAGATACATTACCCTGCAAGAAAAGAGCCAGACTTTGTATCAGGTACCCATTGCTGGGTAACAAATTATCCCCAAGCCGAGCAGGGGCAGGGAAGTACAGTCTTCCATGTGTCCGAAAGGAACACTGGAAATATCTAATAAGCAGAACCGTGAGTTACAGAAGTGACGATGTTGTCTTCTAGAGAGAGGAGGACTTTCTATCCTTCCTCACAAGTGATCCTCATCCGCGGAGCTTTGTCAAGTGGTAGAGACAGAACCGTATGATTCGCAGGGCTCGTTAGTCACATTCCTGGAAGCCCAACGTACGATTTTATCCGATCGGCTGGGAAAAGAGAATGTCCTAGGACCTGACCTAGCCACGATATGCCTGGGCCAGCACATGACTCATATGACCTGTGGCAGCGGACACACCGCCCCAGAGCCCAGGGCTGCCTCCCTGTGGACACCAGCGTGACCCCAGACCCTCCATGCTTCGAAGCCTCAGTTTCCCCCCCTGTAGAAGTTGTGGCTGGGACCTAATCTCTAAGGCCGCTTCCACCTCTAGGTTCTTAGCCATCGTTCTTTGATTTAATGGCACGCTACTTGTTTGCAGCGAGAGCTGGGGGCTCCCTCAGCTCTTTGAGCACACCTGTGCATATTCCCCAGGGCCATTGGGACGCCACCTTCAGGATTTCTGCCACATCTCCTGGCCACCTGCTCTACTGTTGACTTCATCTTTTCCTTTAAATGAACTCACTTTTTATAAACTCAAACTTAAGTATGTTTATTTTAAAAGCAAACTTTATGTCGTGATGGTGGACAGAAAAAAAAAAAAAAAAAAGAGGTCCGAACTTTTCCACCAATGGAAAAATAAAATCAGCGAGACTAGTCAATTAGAAGCCAACGACGAAATAAATACAGTGAAAGCCGTGTTTCCAGTTTCTGGTTCAATAGCATTAGGGCTGGAGACTTGGGTCTAGGTCTGTTTTTATTTTTTTAAGAGGCAGGATTGAAGAGAGGTGTTGCAGCACCGAGCTAAGCCATTCTCCTTGCTTTATCTGAAGGCTTAAAAGAGGATTGAAAAGGCAACAGCTTTGTCCATTGCCAAGTGCGTTATTTAATGCTGTATCTGCCCATGACGGCACCTGATGCCATTCCCATCTCGCACCGACGCGCCTTCCACACTTGGGAAACGTTGAATTTGACGTGCCTTCTATTTGTTTCAGCGTTGGTTCCCTTTCTTCCCCTAAGTTCCCAGAGACCAGGTGGCTTCCGGTTTCTCCGTCTCCGCACCCCGCCAGACATGCCCCATTGCCCCCTCCAGACGGCTTGGTGGCTCTGGCACGGGTCATGCCTCGAGGAGGGGTAAGAGTGAGCAAGGGGGAGACAGGAGGGCAGCGGCCATCACGGTTACTGTCATCACATCAATGAGCTTTGTGTGAAGTTGTGATGGGAAAGGAACACACCACAGGAAAGAGTTGGGCTAAGTATGGTCTTGAGACGATTTTGAGAGATTCAGAGCCTCCAGCAGTCAAAATTTTGGAGAGGATTTTTGTTTGTTTGTTTGTTTGTTTGTTTTTAAATTTAAAGACATGGGAGGGGCGCCTGGGTGGCTCAGTCAGTTAGGTGTCCGACTTTGGCTCAGGTCATGATCTCACAGTTTGTGAGTTCGAGCCCCATGTCGGGTTCTGTGCTCCTGGAGCCTGCTTCAGATTCTGTCTCTCTGTCTCTCTCTGCCCCTCCCCCACTCATTCATTCTCTCTCGCTCTCAAAAATAAACACACATTAAAAAAATAAAGACATGGGATTTAGGATCTCCAGGTTTTTTTTTTTCCTTAAAGAATTAGAGCTACAGTAAAGAAAGAGGTACCTTAGAAGGCTGGAAGGTCCACACAAAAACTTGTACAGGGGTGTTTGTAACAGCAGCATTCACAACAGCCAAAAAGTGGAAACACAAATGACCACCAAATGATAACTGGCTAAATTAAGAAGTGGCACGTCCGTATTCTAGAACATTAGCCGTACAAGGGAATAAAGCACTGACGCATGCTACAGCAGACCTGGGAAACACTACACAGAGTGAAAGAAACCACACACAAAAGGCCACATCTTAGGACTCATTCATAGAGAGCTCCAGAACAGGCAAATTCATGGACACAGAAAGCAGGTCAATGGCAGTCAGGGGATGGGAGGACAATAGGACCGGGGAGGGGATGGCTAACAGTCTTCGGGTTTTCTTCCTGGGTGATGAAAATGTTCTAGAATTGATGGGGTAGGTGGGTGATAATCCAGTAAACCTGTCTCTGTCTCTCTGTCTCTCTGTCTCTCTGTCTCTCTCTCTCTCTCTCACACACACACACACACACACACACACACACACACACACACACACACAGCAGTTTTGTGAACCAGTGGAAACAGTGACAGGTGATGCCTGCTGAGGAAGTTTGCTTAGAGCAGTGGCTGCTCATGAGAATCACCTGGGGAGCTTCGGGAACCTCTGATGCCAGCCCCACCCAGACTGCCCAGGTCAGAAGAGATGGGGTGTGTGACAGGTCTTCATAGTTTAAAAGTCTCCTCAGGTGATTCTGAGAGGCAGCTGAGGCTGAGTACAGCAGTTCAGAAAATTCAGAAATAAAGAAGTAGACTTGGCCTAGATGTATGCCTTTGCTCATCACCACAGTGGCCCCCCCTTTCCCCAGATAACTTTCTGTCCTGCAAAACACCCCTCTCTTCTGCATTTTGTGACTTTTTTTTTTTTAATTTTTTTTTCAACGTTTTATTTATTTTTGGGACAGAGAGAGACAGAGCATGAACGGGGGAGGGGCAGAGAGAGAGGGAGACACAGAATCGGAAACAGGCTCCAGGCTCTGAGCCATCAGCCCAGAGCCTGACGCGGGGCTCGAACTCACGGACTGCGAGATCGTGACCTGGCTGAAGTCGGACGCTTAACCGACTGCGCCACCCAGGCGCCCCTGCATTTTGTGACCTTTAAGAATAAGTCAGTTGTTGGGCGCCTGGGTGGCTCAGTGGGTTAAGCGTTTGACTTTTGATTTCGACTCAGGTCATGATCTCATGGTTGGTGGGATCGAGCCCCACATTGGGCTCTGTGCTAATGGTGCAGAGCCTGCTTGGGATTCTCTCTCTCCCTCTCTGCCCCTCCCCTGCTCAGGCTCGCTCTATCTCTCAAAATAAAGAAATAAACTTAAAAACTAAGCCAGCTTCATGAGAACTACATGCTCAACATCGTTAGTTATGAGGAAAACACAGATTGAAAACCACAGGAAAACACAGATCAAAACTAGAAAGTCAGTGTTGGCGAGGATGTGGAGAAATTGGAACCCTTGCACCTACACAGTTGGTAGAAATGTAAAATGCTGCAGCCAGTGTGGAAAACAGCATGGCAACTCCTCCAAAAATTAAACATAGACTACTATATGACCCACAGTCCCACCCCTAAGTACATGTCCAACAGAATTAAAAACAGGTACTCAAGCAAGAACATACAGACGTGTTCATAGCAGCACCATTCACGAGAGTCAAGAGGCAGAAATGACCCAGTTGCCTATGAACAATGAATAAACAAAAATGTAGCATATCCACACGATGAAATATTATTCAGCCTTAAAAAGGAATGCAGTTCTGACTCCTGCTACAACATGGATGAACCTTGAGGATACTATGCTCAGTGAAACAAGCCAGACACGGAAGGACAAATATCATATGATTCCACATTACAGGAGACACTGAGAAGAAGCGATTTCATGGAGACAAGGTAGAATAATAGGTTACCGAGGGCTGGGGGAAGGAGCGAACGAGGAGTTATTTTTGAATGAGTACAGAGTTTCTATTTGGGAAGATGAAAAAGTTCTTCAGATGGATAGTGGTGACGGCTGCCCAACACTATGAATATATACTGAATTCCACTGAATTGTATACTCGGTGGTTGAAACGATCAATTTGGTGTTGCGCATAGTTTACCACAACTGAAAAAATTAAGAACGAAGAAAAAGCAAAAAAAGCTACAACGGCAGGCATGGGGAGATCTTTCCATACCTCACAGGGAACAGACCGATTTGAAGCAGTGGAGGGGAAGACCCCCACGCTGCCCTAGGATCCAATCTCACAATGATGGGCCACTCGCTCTCTCTCTCCGCACCTCAGTTTCCCCACGAACAAAAGGCAGATAGCATGGCCCACCCGTCTGGGGTGGATGTAGATTGAATGAAATCCATAAAGCACCACGCACAGTAGCCAGTATACAGTAAGCACTCAATGAGAGCTGGGAACACCATCATCACCCACACTCAGAGCGTGTGTCTAC